GGTAGTTCTTTGCTCTCTCTCTCTCTCTCTCTCTCTCTCTCTCCTGCTTTCTCTTCGTAGAAACAATGGATCCTATCGTCCAGAGAAGATATCTTGTACTATCATTGTTTTAAGAATATTTAAGTAGTAAGGAGCGTTAGGTACCGAGCAATCATATCGAATATGATGTTAAAACCCGAACTAACTCGTTCTTCTTGAGATGATCGAAGAAAGAAAGGCACCACATCAAAGTTACAGTTTGATGTTAGAACGGGTCTTAACGATATCCGATCGCAGAAGCGGTTTCATGTCATCTTCTTCATCAGGAAAATGAATGCCGAGTTTGTCTTGGCGCCTACTGTTCATGTCTCCATTCTGGTTTCAGATTTGAGGCCACCGCTCCAACAGTTCACCATCGAAAAAAAACCTGGATTTGGTACTCACTAAGCTTGGTGTGCATGAGAGCTTCTCATCTGCCATCTCTCCATGCCCAATTCCATGCATCCATGCGACCGAGCTTAGCTTGGATGAGATAGCAAGAACGAAAGAGGCATACATACCGCTATGAGTGATCTGACGCGTTTCTTTACCCTCTGACGGTGAGAGGATGAGGAGAACTCAAACGACCACGATGCAGGTGCTGTCATATCAGTATGCCTTGGCTTTCATCCCGCAGCCGTGTGAAGCTCATGCTCAAGCTGGACGTCTGTTTCCAGTACAATCGGCTCATCACTTGATATCGTCGCACGAACAGAAACTGCGAGATCGAACATCCTGGTAATTAAGTCGATAATTTCTGACAGCCAAATGATCATTACAGAGCTGGCGATGGCAACATGACAGAGAGAAGTACGTGATGGTCGTTTACATGCATCTAATATGGACTTGTGGAGTCCAAGAGAAGATTACTGATCGGTCAAATGTGTATATCCTTTTTGTCGTCGGCAGTAGGCTTTTCTTCTTTACCTTTTCCTTTACTTTCTTGGTCATGGTGACTGGGTGGGTGGGTTGGGTTGCTGTGTCTCTTTTGCCACTGTGGGTGATTCCTACCGGAAATGTAGATCTCGTACTTCCTGTTGCTCTGCAAACTCAAGTTCTACTCATCTGATGGATATGGATCATAGCGCAGGACTTTGGCGGAAAGTGAAAGCTAAAGAAAGATTAATTCGGTATGATAATGCTGTACTTAATCACACTGATAAACAAATGCTTTCATCATGTGACAATCATTTTCAGATTCCTTAATTACATGTTGTCATCATAAATTATTGGTTACATAATCTCATCAAAAACTTCATCGCGAGTACAATTTAGTACAGCAGTAACAGCTACACTTGTCAGGACAACTGGACCGGAATGAATATTGACCGATAGTCGGTAAAATGGCAATGATGGACTTGAGATGTGTTTCTGGCTGTTTTCTGAAGCAATTAATTCTAAGTGTTTATGATTAGCCAGATGTTGTCAGTAATCCAGTGTTGTCAATGCACTGAGTTAGGGTTCCACCAACCAAGCCAAGATTGGATTTGCATGTTACTACTGTAAATGATCGTTCACAAAAGTGGAGTAGATATGAGGATAAACCTTGGAGTTGCTCTTCTTGGTTGAAGTACTCCATTAACCATTGGAATATGAATCTCTCAAGAAGTTGAAGTACTCCACCATTAACCATTGTTTATTTTCTTGTCTGGACCGGACCTTTCATTATTTTCCAATCCACTTCGATTAAAAAACATGAAATCAACAAGTAGATCCTAATAATTAGTGACAGAAGTGAGCATACGACAATACTTTAAGAGGTTTTTCTCCTGACAAATGATCTGTTCACATGTGCAGAAGCAATTTTACAAGTGAACAGACTATGATTGAACTAAATAAACTGTTGTTACTATGGAATTGTTTTTTTTTGGGGGGTTCCAATTCAAAACTAGTATTTTTGGGAATTCTGAATGCTTTAACCTTGTTGAAGAAGCATTGCAAAACACCAAGTCATGACCATGCAACAACACTAGCTATAGGAAGGGTGCTGTCAGATGCAGTGCAAAGGAAGAAAAGCCCATGTACGTGAAACGATTGTAGGGCCACATACATGCATGGTAAAAGGAAAAAATGTGGTAACTCTTTCTAGTTGAAGCTATCAATTCCTTCCACAGGATGAGTGTTGTCCGAAATGAAGAAATGGTCGATGCGTGACATCTCCATTATGGTCCGAAATCTTTTTTGTAAGCACCATCTCATTTCACCCTTTCATACATATATATATATATATAAGGTGAGTGGTATCATAAATGGTAAGAGAGAGGGAGGTAAGTTCGAGCCATGGCATCTGCATTTATGATGAGAACACAAGTTGGGAGTATCAGAAGATTGAAGAAGAAAAGGGAAGGGATGCAGGAGGAGTTGTGCAGTAGGGTTTTGTCTGATAGCAGTGGGAGGAGGGGACACCGACAGCGGGAATCCATGGAAGGGAGCGCCCAAACTACTACGGCCTCTCACAGCTCACCGAGTGTTTCGGCCACCCGTGCGTGTGGTCCATCCATCCATCCTCCTCTTCTTTCTCTTTCCTTCCATTCCATTCCTCCTTTGGCTCGTCAAATAAATGATGAGAGTTAAGAGAGAAGATGGAGTGTTTCTTAGCTGCCAACCTTATCTTTAGATTTTGTTCTATTCTCGCTCTATGATTGGGATCACATTTTCTTATGTGTTTGAGTTATGATGTGAATCAAATTTGTTGGAAGAACTACAAATATTCAAACATGAAAAGAATACTCGATCGATTAAGATCTAGTTTTTCTATAAACATCATATGTATCTTAAGATGTCGGTAAAATTAAGGCATGAGAAAATATACGCAAGAGGATTGTGAAAACAATTTCTCAGCGGTTAAATATGGAAATGAGTTTAGATTTAGGTTTAACTTAATTCAAGTGAAAATTTCATTTCTTTTATGTGTTTATTCTCGTGTCGTAAAAAAAAATTAATTTTCTCTCTCTACTCTACTCTACTCTACTCTACTCTACTCTACTCTACTACATAAGCAAGAAGTAGAAAGCCACATAAATCTTGCATCAGCCTTTGTGGCTTATGGCTTGTTGTTGATATTTGGATTTCGAGGTTTTCTCCCCCGACATGTTGTTATTGTCTTTCATTTTCTTTTTTTTTTTTACTTTCAAGAAAAATAATTCATCCAAAAAAACTTAATTCAAATTGTAAAATTTAGGAAGAAAAACTATATGACAGATTTGTAGTACTTGAAGATATTTTCTGGAAGACCGCATAAATAGTGGGACACTTAATAATTTGGATGCGTAAGTAATGATTTCAGAAATCAAAGAAAAAAAAAGATAGATAGATTAACACGAAAGGATCACCAGCTTGATTGACACTATTGATATTTGATGGAGTAAACACATCATGTGGAAGGAATTAAGCGAAGAATATTTTGCTCATTGAGGTGTCGCTAAACCTCGTACTGGGGGGGAGGGACATCTTTACCCTTCCTATGAAACGCCATCACAACATGAGAGAGACAACCGGAATCATGTATAGTGAAACAGCGGTCTCATGTCCGTGATCCGCATCAAGCTTGGAGCAAAGTGGATACTGGATACCAGCTGTGAGCTAGCTTGAGAAGAAGAGGCAACAACAAGCAACTCCTATTTGTCCCATGTAATTTAATTTACTAGATCAGGCAGGATACATAACAAAACCACACTTGACGTGCATTGTGTATATCGATAATGAATCAATAACTCGAAGGAACACCAAGGATCAGCATTAACTCTGCTTTAATGTATAAGTAGCAAAATTATGGTAAGAAGCTTGGATCATGTACACAGTGGATCGGGCGTAACTAAAACGTGAGCTATATGTACCCTTTGATGCATTAAATGGCGGCTAAGAGTCCCAAGTAGCAGAGACACGGAGAGTGATGATAGCTGCAGTAGTGCGACCACTGTTTTTCTCATAGCTTGTCAATGGATGCTGAGACACATCACATGTACTAGGCGTACCCATAGCTTGGAAAAGGTCGAATAGGCAGGCATGTAATGTCATCGCTAAGGCAGCGTGAAGCCATAACCGGGGGAGGCCATGGGGGGTGAGAGGCAGCGCTGTAAAAAGTGGACGGCAAGCTTTTGCTCCCAAGTCAAAGATGGAGGTGGGACGTGGGACCCTCTCTTCAATTCAATGGGAGGGCACATCATATAAATAGGAAGCAGTGCACGTGTGGGTGTGGGACCTGCATGGCTCCCAAATAATGGCGTTGAGCCCTCTCTCTCTCTCTCTCTCTCTCTCTCAGGTTCAAAGTTAGCGAGGCGACGACAGGGCGTCTCAGCGGGACCCATGCGGATCCGCAACGCTCACATCACTTGTGGATTCGCTGCCCCCTTTGGAATCGAAGTTCGACGCTTGCACGAATAAGGTAGCCATCATTAATTTAGAGAAACAAGTGTAAGTGGGCAACGATCCAATCCACTGCGTTACAAAATATATTTATATTTTTAATATGTAGTCGATGGAAAAGATTTGATCCAATGCGTAGTTAGTTATGAAATGCTTCGATAAATAATAATTCTAAATTATTTTTTAAAAATATATTGAGATAAATATTGTTTGATAAAATTATATTTCAAAGTTCATTCAATATTTTTAATATTTTATGATCATATATATATATATATATATATATATAATCTTATATAAACCTTTCATATGGATCAAATATATAATAAATAAAATATAATCATATAAATAAATATAAAATATTTTTTTTAAAAAAAAATAAATAAATAAAATTGTATCTCATAAAAATATAAATCATATTGATTTTTCAGTAAATCATTTTGACAATCTTATAGTACTTCATAAAATTATAGGATATTTTCGAACTTAAAAAATAATATTAATATCCTGTAAATATTAAAATATTAATACTATATTAACTATCAGAATTTTCAATATAACATCAAAATGAGATATAATTTAAAAAAACATTTACCAGACGCATGAATCCTCATGCCAGACGCCCGGGATATGTACCAACAACGTTGCTGCAACTCAGAAGGTTGCTCTCTGTTCAAATCGGAAAGAAGGGCACAGCCCATCGAAGCCCAGGACACAGAATGGATAACCCAGAAGAGATCATAGAGGAGCACGCCCCCCTGTAGATAACAGAGTGGCGCACACAACTTTCACAAGTTATAAACCCTAAAGCAATATAATAATACTTTCAAAAAGTTTTACTTGGATATTAAGAAAATCAATTGCAACCATGGCTGGGGGATGTGGCCCACGACCAACCATGCCCTGGTCCTGGTATTCTTCAGGATGATGATAAATATCCTAAGGCCATTTTGATGAGTCCCACGTGGGATTGAATAAACTAAAACAGGATGATCGCCCTACTTGTACCAGAGTCCATGTTTTACAAAGAGCGACAAAAGATTTGTCATAAATTAACTGTATAAATCATCATCGTCGGCAGCACCAGCTGATGTTGCAAAAGGATCTGCTCCTGCACCTCCAGCGGCGGACTCAGATCGCTCTGAAAAGCGGAACTCGCTGCCGAACCCCCTTGACTGCTGCAAAGTCTGTGCAAAAGCTTGGTACTTCCGAATATCTGCATCGCTGACACTCCTACGAGCAAACTTCATCGATTCTTCAAAGTGAGCAGCTTTGATCTCTGCTACTTCATCAGTCTCATCTTCTTCCATTGCTTCAGGATTCTCACTCTTCCTCTTCTCTCTTTCAATATCCTGCATGATGTGAACCAAGATTAACTTAAGTTTGTTTGTTTGGCCAAATTCTAGTAGAAAAATTGTACCATTGGCAATTAATTATATTATCCGCCAAATGATTGTAAGACAAGTCACCAAAAGTGCTCGAAATGCAATCAATTCTAAGTCTTTTTAAGATGGGGTAAAAGCAATATACTGACAACCATTACAGAATTACGCGAACAAGTAACGAACGAGTTATAACAAGTACTGAATCTCCAAAATAATGATACTAACAAGAGGGCATGCAAGATCTATTGTAATTCTTAATCTCCTTGTGTAAGGACATACCGAATTTGCATTTTGACTACGAGAATCATGTATATATTTCTCAGCACAAAAGAAGAAATAAGATGGAAATGTTACTATTTCTCACATATGTGACTTAGTGAACTCGATTTCTAAAATGTATGACTTGGTGAACTGAATACTACAAAGTAGAAGCCCACTATTTTGTCAAAGATGCCAATACATTCAGGCTGCATATGCACATTTTCCAAGATTTCAACAAACAAACTATTGTTGCAGCTAACCTCATTAGTACACAATATCAGAAATTATCTATAATGACAAAAAAAACATCCTACTGTACTAACAGAAAAGAAGAGAAATAATGAAACAAAGACATACCTTTTCAATGTTCTCTCTAATGGCATACTTGCATGCACGCTGACAAATTTCTGTAATATCAGCCCCACTAAATCCTTGAGTGTACTTGGCAAGAGCCCTCAGGTCAACATCTTTTGATACTGGAGATTTTCTCAGGCAAGCTTTAAAAATTTGAAAACGAGAGGCCTCATCTGGTAAAGGAATATAAATCAATTGGTCCAGACGGCCTGGCCTAAGTAAAGCAGGATCAATAATGTCAGGCCTATTGGTTGCCCCAATAATAAACACAGTTTTCTTGGCATTCATGCCATCCATCTCTGTAAGTAACTGATTGAGAACCCTGTCAGCAGCACCTCCTGCATCACCAACACTGCTACCTCTCTGCATTGGGAGTGGAAACCATGATTAGCATAGGACATACAGTACAGAAATGGCATGCATTTGACAGAAATTGCAACTAACCTGGGTTGCAATGGAGTCAAGCTCATCAAAAAAGAGAACACATGGTGCAGATTGACGAGCCTTATCAAAGATCTCCCGTACGTTTGCTTCACTCTCACCGAACCACATAGTTAGTAGTTCAGGGCCCTTAACACTAATGAAGTTTGCTTGACATTCATTAGCAATGGCCTTAGCTAATAAGGTCTTTCCACAACCAGGTGGCCCATAAAACAATACTCCCTTTGAGGGGGACATCCCAAACTTCTCAAACTTCTCAGGATGCTCAACTGGATATTGCACAGTCTAAGAGAAAGAGAAAAAAAATTAGCCAACCTCATCAAACATTTTGTGGAAGTAACATACTACATCTATCACCAAACTACCTCTTGCAGTTCTCTCTTGACGTTGTCCAATCCACCAATATCTTCCCAGGAGACATTTGGCACTTCAACGACCTGACATAAAGCCATCATTTTACAAGTTAAATATATCTCAAGAACAAATACAAAACCCATCACTAAGTATGAAACACTTGGAAGATGAAATGAAACATTTCAGGTTTTAGATGCACAGCCAATTCACATTTTTTTAATGGCAAATTATGAGTTATAAGTTCAGATGTTTTGGTGTATAGAAGTTCTTGAGTTAAAAATTCCTACCCTTGATTAATATTTTCCAACTCTAAGATATCTTATTCTAAACATTTCTAACAACCAAATGCTTAAAAAAATTAACAAACAAGGCTGACATATTTGTAAAGCGAAGGAAAGAGAACCATAACGGTTATGAGACTTGAGAAGATCATTGCACAGCCTTACAGTTTCACGGAGTGCAGATGGATTGCTTGATCCAAGAGCAGTCTTAAAATGTTCATTTGTGACAGCCATAGAGTTGAGAATCTCCGCGTCAATTGATTCATCCTCTAAATCAATTATGTCCATCTTTTCACGTATACACTGGAGGGCCGCTTCAGTGCATAGAGCAGCAAGGTCAGCCCCTACATATCCATGAGTGTCCTTAGCAATCCTTTCTAAATCAACCTGCATGACATGAATCAGTGTCATTTATTACCAATCAATATAAAACATTTAGAACAATGGCTAAAGAAATGATGGGCAACAGTCATTTACATCTTCAGCCAGCTTCATGTTCTTTGTATGGATCCGAAGAACTTCCAAACGCCCAACTTCATCTGGGACACCAATGTCAATTTCCCTGTCAAACCTACCAAATCTTCTAAGAGCTGGATCAATACTGTTTGGCCTGTTTGTAGCCCCAATAACAATTACATGAGAACGAGATTTCAGCCCATCCATCAGCGTCAGAAGTTGAGACACTATACGCCTCTCAACTTCCCCATGAGTTTTTTCTCTCTTAGGAGCAATAGAATCAATCTCATCAATAAATATAATTGATGGTGCATTCTTCTCTGCCTCTTCAAAAGCCTTCCTCAGATTGCTCTCGCTTTCACCAGCTAGTTTTGACATAATTTCTGGGCCATTAATGCAGAAGAAAAAGGCTCCTGTCTCATTTGCGACTGCTCTAGCTATCAGTGTCTTCCCAGAACCAGGTGGCCCATACAACAAAATACCTTTTGGTGGCTTGACACCAATTGACTTAAACAATTGAGGGTGTCTAAGAGGTAGTTCCACTAGCTCTCTTATCTGAGCCATCTGTTTTCTAACTCCTCCAACATCATCATAGCCCACCTCATCAAGTCTATCCTCATCCTCCCTTTTTATAGGCTCCCCCTCACAGAAAATCTCTGTGTCAGGAGCAACAACACAATACTCTGCAGGATCAGTTTCTATAACCTTAAATTCAACACTCCTCATACCTCCCCTGACAAGGAAAAGATCCCCTTTTCTCACAGGACGATATGCCTCCAGAAAATATGCTGCAAAGAAGTCAACACTTTAGTTACAGAAACCACAAATCAGAAAATAAGTTATAAACCACATGGGGACCTAGCAAACTTCACAGCAAAACACTTGTTTTGACAGGTCAGCACAAAATGAACATTGACGTGGTTGGATTAATTATATCCAAACAGAACTGACAAATCATATAAAACTTAACATGTACCAGCAAATGCATAATATCACAAACATCTATTACATACAGAACCAATAGTCATCCAATTAAATATACAAGATATTTACCGTGCAAAATACAAAGGCCATGAATTACATAAAACACTTAAATATGGAAATCATGCAAGAACGAAAGTCAACTGATAACCATCCAGAAATTGCTTTGAGAAATGCGTCGACAATGATATTGTACAGAAGACTCCTATTTGCATACAATTGGCAAGCTTGAAATATCATCCCATTTTGAAAACAACAATAGATACAAAAGTAACTTAATCCAGAAGAACATCAAATCAGATTATTACACATGATCCAATTGTTTCAATAGAGCATTCAACCATCGATGGAATTATTTATACATGACAGAGTAAAATAATCCTGTAAATTTATGCAAGATATAACTGACTGGCCACAAAGACCCCAGTCAGTTATATAAGTACTGACTGGAAATTAAAAAATAAATATAAGGACACACTTCCTGATAATGGAAATGAATATTCCAATAAAAAGAGCCAAAGGGTAGATTCAAAAAGGTCAATAAGACTCGATCACAAAAAAATATTTGATTTATTCTCCTTATCCCCCCAGACTAGGCTTACCGCAGGACATATTCAGTACATGTTGGATATTATCATATACATGTATTTGATGTACCTCAAACACTTATCCAAGTGTCCAATTTTCTCAAGTACTAACCAAAAGCATCAAATGTATATACTTCTTGCGCGTGTGTTTCTTTTTTCATTAAGATGTATAACTGATGCAACCTTTTAGATATATTGTTCGATGCCAACTGTATCAAGCATCAGTCTAACCTGAAATCATCACTCATAAATAAGCTCTAAACCTTTTCTAAATTTTTTATAATATTTGTGAAATTACTTCTTTCCTAAGGAATAAATTCAAAATGCTCATTAACTACTTACTGTCAATTATTGTGATCTAATCTGAAAAAGAAAACATTCCACAACCAAGATAAGGAGAAAACTTAGCTGTAAGTTACTTTGTTGACTAAGTCAATGGAAGAAGGGATGTGCTTTAAGCAACTACACCAAAGCAAATGAAGGGAAGCATGGGCAATATGTTATGTTATAGGCAACCAAGCAACCTATTGCTGCACTGACCACATCTTTCCCAGGCAACTCTTGGCCCAATTCCATTTCCATATTAACAAAATTAAAACATGTTTTAATCAGCTCCCAGATAGCAGAACCACCCAGCTTCGGATAACATAAAGCAGAAATGAGGGAAGGAACAGGGACGCATACATGAAGACACAAGAGGCACACCAAGAAATCCAATGAAATTCTATGAGCATAAACCAGATTAATACCAAACAAAATCCTTGAATCAAATAAAACACAAAACAGTTCTGATTTACACTGATTAGGACATGTTCGTGGTAGTAATACCAATCAAAATTACCACCAACTGAACATTGAGAATTAGAAGCAACGATGAGTTATCAAGTGCAGCTGAAAGTGTACTATCTTTGTGTCTAGAAGATAATGAATGCTCTGTATATAAAGGAATAAGATTTTCAACTGATAAATATTTTTTGTCAAGGAAGTCACATGTGGAATTCCTCAGGTCTGGAAGCATTTCAGAAATCCCAAGGTAGTTTGTTTAGTTAGCTTATTTTAAATTGTTTAAAAAATAAGAAAATGACTGGAAATCAAAGGGTAAACTATACAAATACAAAAGATCAACATAATTTATCAAGTTATCAAAAAATTGAACTAGTGAAACCATAATGAGAAAGAGGGTTAATGATTTATTATTAAGTCTAGTGTGTACTTGGAAATCTTGCTTCTATACTACAAAAATCAGCAATAAAAGCTATTTCTCAAGTAAATTTAGTTGAGTTGGAAAAATAAGGTTCGAAAACATATACTGCAGTGATTTTATAAAAACATGATCAATTTAAATTGGCATGATCAGTGACATGTATGATGGAGTTGTTATCAATTTTAGATAACAATAGTGTCTTAACATGATTCTTATCACACCACATGATTGCATAAAAAATATCTTTTGAACTCTATCTCCTTTTTTTATCATAATAAATGAACTTAATGGGAACATTGGGATGAACTTCCAATATGTCTGTTAGCTTGTATGTTATTCGCCATTGGCATTTTAGTTGACAAGTCAAAACCGGATAGGCTAAAGTTTTATAAGGATAAGATTTAGAAGCCAAAGGTTTTAGACTAAGCATCATGGCTTAGAATATATCCGGTAGTGGGCAATATGCAACAGTCCATTATAAAACATGTGGTATGCTACATCTTTTATTGGTATACTAAGATCTTGCCTTTTACACTTGTACAACACTAAGGAACCATACCAATACAACAAGGTCGATAAGTACATGAGCTGCAACAATTGACTACATGAATACATGAGCTGCAACTTTACCAATAAAAGGAAAAAAAACACAAGATACAATCAAAATGACATACAAGAAAAATATAAGACTCATTTAACAGATAGAAAACTAGTTTTTTCTTAAAAAGCTCATTGGAGTTTGCACAAAATAAAACATTTTTCCTTCAGCAGAAGATTAATACGAGTCAGATAAAAAACCTAATAGTTGACTATGAAATCATTCCTGCAATGCCATATTATTTCAAACCATGCTGTCTCACTAAGCCAAATTGACAAACAAAACGTAGCCCAGTAAATAAACAGCAACAGTGAAAGAAAAACTACATTAAAGATAAAAGAAATGAGTCATGGCTTTCAAGAAAAAACATCATCAAAATATGATTAATATCTTGATCTTTTAAGTCATACACAACAACAGGGAGGCATTGAATTACAGGTTTAAAAACGGAAGATGGTACTGAGCTTTGTTTACATGACAATAAAGACTATGCCATGAATAATCATACGAGCAATCTAATTATGAAAAACAGTCAGCAAAAGTTATCAAATGATTAAAACAGAAAACTCACGCTTCAAATAAGCATCAAACAGATTCCCCGTGACTCCTTCGATTGTGTCATCGATAGGCAAGATGTGAACCCTCTTCCCATACTTGACGTCTTGGCATTGATGGACTGAAACAACATCCCCAAGCCTCACTCTGAGGTTAGATCTAACAACCTTGTTCATCCTGATCTTTGGTTCATCACAAGTCTCATCGGCTAGAGCAATACAAATAGTGTCCCTCCTTTTCTTTCCCTATAGATGAAAGATGTTAAACATTTAGGATAGCAATCACAGATCACACAATTTAGAGACCGAAACTTCAGTTTAACGCACTAATTGTCAAAACCAGATGTAACATAGACCAAATGAAACTATATATTAAGCCAGATTGAGCTATAACGAGAAGATTAAATAACTAATTGATTAGATAGAGAGACGACCCTTGACAGAAGCCCTAAGTTCAGAATTGGCCACAAACCTTTAAGTTGAATAGCTTATGTAGAAACTATATATCGATCAAAGAGAGCAAATAAGAAATCGGTACCTTCAAGAGTATAGTATCGCCTCGAAAGAGCTGTAGTTTCTCCATCGTCTCGGGATTCATCGAGACCACCGAATTATCATCATTAACCGCCTCATCCACGATCAAACGGTTAGGGGCCTTCTTCTTCTCGAGGATCGCCGTGCTATAATCTTTCTTACCCTTACTGCAAAAATTTCCAGACCCACATGATCCAAATCAAAACCCTAAGAATCGAGACCAAGAACATTCGAGAAGGAAGGCAAGAAGCACACAGAAACCAGCGGAAACAAAAAGAAGTCTCACGGATCGGAAGAGGAGGCATCGCCCTTGTTCGCCATCAGATCGAGATCCACAAACGACCGAGCGCGGAAAGCAAAGGGCAGACGCAATATCCAAAGAAACGGGGCAAAGACGAAGGCAGAGAGGGATTATTTATAGCGCCCGAAGATAGTCGAGCACCGAATCCGTGCTCGCTAAGGAATGAGCTAGTCCTTTCCGACGCTCACGATACTTATTATGCGGTCGTGTAAATCGACCGTCCGTGGTACGCATCTGCGGTGGATCTGTCATCTCACTGGAAATTAGTATGCGGACTATTTCAGATGGGCCGCGTTCCGAGAAAGTGGGCCGATAGATATTGACATCGCCGATGACCGCTGTGTCATCGTTGGAACGAGCAAATCAGGGCCATTGATTGGGCCGGTGGGAGAGGTGGCCCAGGCGGGTCGGGATACGGAGGAGAGGTAGGTGGGTCAGCGAAGGCGTGTAGGTAGGTGAGCGCAGTTATATCTATCTACTTATGCTTGACATATTGAAAGCCCAAGTTGTCTCATAAATTCATACGTGTGTCACAAACCAATTCGATAAGCTTCCACGATCATCACAAATGAAAGAGATATTATTGGTTAAACTAATAAATATGCAGTAAAAAAAATATATTAGGGAGTCCATGATCAGGCATCTTCTGTTGATATGTTGTCACGAACGGTCATCGCGCACCCGCAACAACTCCGTTCAATGAACCGTTCGTCGCTCTCATCTACATGTACAGCTACTTGACAACCTGTTTTGCCTTGGTTTTGAGTCATTTTGCTTATAAAAATGTAAGTTCGAACAACCTACAGCGTTACAAAGCGATCGCTCACCGAACCGAGCAAAACAGTCCCAAAACAGCCCAAAACAACTCCGTTTTCGTGTGCCGCGGGCTGATTTCTAGAATCCGCCTCCGCTCACCAAAACGTCAGCCATCTCAGCCCCTTGGAACCCCCCGGGTGACATAGGACTGGATGGGGCTTCGGTATAGTATCGGGCGTTGAACACTCATTCGCAAGTTCGCACGTTGCCTTGACGGGAACTTGTTGTCGCGCCCGGGACTCGATGAGCAGCTGTTTGTGGGCTTGCAGCTGTTTGTTCAACCTTCTAAAGCCCTTGTTTTCCCCCTCTCCCTCTTTTCTCTTGTGCACGCAAGGTGCTCGCTGAATTGCTTGTAAAGCTTCCCCTCTTTTCGCGAGACGTCGGGACTTGTCCGTCGCTCGTTCTTTCGAACTAATCAACTTTCTTTTTTACAGGTCCTTCGGGACTTGCGAGAGGTTACAAGTGGGCTGATCTTTATAGAGCAATATCGCAAGGGCGAAGCGCGACTTAGGCAACGTAAGCTGAGTTCGTATCTTAGCCGCAAGGGTGCCTCACGCCTTATGCAATTCCAGCTAAGGCCGTGACATTGTGGTATCAGAGTGGGCAAGCACTTCGAGCGAGCAACGAAGGAACTTTGTAACTTCGCCATAGCAAAGCATCATGGCGAATCAAGCAAGATGGGGCAAGCCAGACCCTTGCCCCAAGCAACCGCAAGTGGGTTGCATGTGCACACTCGCTCTCAGGCTGTTGGAGCCGCTCAAGAGGAGCACGACAGCGAACATGATGAGTGAGAAGTTGGCTACTCTCCGCAAGCAGAGGAGGCGCAATCTGGAGCACCAACTGGGAAAAAGAGTCACAAGGAGAAACTCACAACAGCGGAAACCCATTTGGATGTTCCTGAAGCGTGCATGGAGGAACTCTACCATGGCCAACAAAGGCTTGTTGGGTAGAGAGCTCGCAAGAGGAAGCAGAGTCAAGGATCGATAAGGTCGAGGCCCTAGTCGACCGACTATCTGATGACACCAAAGACTCCGTGCAACACTTACAGGATGTTGTGGCGGAACTCACTTCAAAGGTGGCTATGCTCACAAGAGCACTAAATGCGGGAGGAAGCAACACCTGCGTTGCACCATCATAAAACTTGAGGGCACCCGAGCCTCATGGTTATGGAGGGGCCAGAGATGCCAAAGAGCTCGAGAATTTTTTGTTCAACATGGAACAATACTTTCGAGCTACGAGGCCCGATTCTGAAGATACCAAAGTTTCTATAGCAATAATGTATTTGAACGGAGATGCGAAACTTTGGTGGCGAACCCGTTGGGAGGAGATTCAACAAAGTCGGTGTCGGGTTGACACATGGGAGGACTTGAAGCGGGAGTTGAGAACTCAGTTCCTACCGGAGAACACAGAGTTCGTCACAAGAATGAAGTTGAGACAGCTCCGCCAGAGTACCACCATTCGAGACTATGTGAAACAATTTTCTGCACTAATGCTAGACATACAGGACATGTCCGAGAAGGACAAGTTGTTCAGCTTCCTTGATGGTTTAAAACCATGGGCTCAACAGGAACTAAATCGAAGGAATGTCACCGATGTGGTCGGGGCAATTGCTGCTGCAGAAAGGGTCACCGACTTTGTTTCCTCCGAAAACCCAGGGAGAAGGAAACAATCTTCAGGCAATCGACCTCCAAAACATTCTCGAGGGAAAGAACTCGGAGGCGAACAAAAGAAGAAGAGTTCCCACAAAGGGCCAAGCCCAAAAGGCAAGGCCCCGAGACCTGGCGGATGCTTCTTGTGTGGAGGGCCACACATGGTGAGGGAGTGCCCACAAAAACAGGCACTCAATGCGTTAACAACTTCCATCCATCCTCCCAAATCGGACAAGGGCAAGGCTGTCGCTCTTAGTACGAGTAGTTCTGAAGCTAGCAGCGACGATGAGGAGTCGCAAGGACCCCGGATGGGAGCCATGCGTTTGTTGAACGCCATGCGGAGTCAAGTGGGGGAGAACCCGAAGATAAGGCAACAAAAAGCAGGAAGTGGCGAGCTAATGTATGTTAACATCAAGCTCAATGGCCAAACAACTCATGCAATGGTGGACTCGGGCGCTACCCACAACTTTATAGCCAATCGAGAAGCAAAGCGACTTGGGTTGATCTTGGAGAAGAGCCCAAGTCGAATGAAGGCGGTGAACTCAGAGGACAGATGAATCTCCGGATTGGCAAAGGGAGTTCCCATCAAGATCGGAACATGGAGCGGGAACACCAACATGATGGCGGTGCCACTGGACGACTTCCAAGTAATTCTTGGAATGGAGTTTATGCACGCGACGAAGTTGGTACCTATGTCATTCCTAAACTCCTTGTGTATGATGGAAGGCGACGACCCCTGCGTGGTTCCTGTCTCTTGGAGAGGAACCAAGGAACCGCAACATGTATCGGCGTTGCAACTAAAGAAAGGGGTGCGAAAAGGTGAATTAACCTTCGTGGTTGTGATGAAGCTAGAGCTACTTGACGAGAAGGCCATTTAAGAACCTGCTGTGGTGGCGAATGTCCTGAAAGAGTTCAATAACGTTATGCCACCCGAGTTGCCGAAGACTCTTCCACCACGCAGGGGCGTGGATCACAACATCGAGCTGGAGCCAAGAGTGAAGCCTCCAGCGAGACCACCCTACCGCATGCCCCCGCCAGAGTTGGTAGAACTCCGAAAGTAGTTAGGCGAACTGCTAAGTGGTGGTCTCATCTGCAGCTCTAAAGCACCTTTCGGAGTTTCAATTCTCTTCCAGAAGAAACAAGATGGGAGCCTCCGACTATGCGTCGATTACCGAGCCCTTAACAAAGTGACAGTGAAGAACAAGTATCCCATCCTGCTCATTACGGACTTGTTCGACCAATTGGGCAAAGCCAAGTATTTTTCAAAACTCGACCTTTGGTCGGGGTATTGGCAGGTGCGCATTGCTGAAGGCGACGAAGCGAAGACTACCTGTGTGACCAGGTATAGAGCGTTTGAGTTCTTGGTGATGCCCTTCGGCTTAACCAACGCTCCAACCACGTTCTGCACTCTCATGAACCAGCTATTCAAGGAGTATTTGGATAAGTTCGTAGTCGTTTACTTGGACGATATCGTCGTCTACAGTCAAACGCTCGAGGAGCACGTCAAACACCTTCGGACAATTTTCAAGGTTCTCAGGGAGAACACTTTGTTCGTGAAAAGGGAGAAATGCTACTTTGCTCAAACTGAGATCTTATTCTTGGGACATCGAATCGGTGATGGCTCCATTCGGATGGATAAGTCGAAGGTGCAAGCGGTTGCGGAATGGCGAACTCCAAAGAAGGTGCTAGAGTTGAGATCCTTCCTTGGTTTCGTCAACTACTATCGACGCTTCATAGCGTGATATTCGAAGCGTGCAACTCCACTGACGGAGTTGCTGAAGAAGGAGCAGCCTTGGAAGTGGTCTGACAAATGTGAAATAACATTCCAAGATATGAAGGCTGCTGTTCTGGAAGAACCGGTGCTCAAATTGCCAGACTATGGAGAGTCCTTTGAAGTCTATACAGACGCTTCAGACTTCACTATTGGGGGAGTACTCATGTAGGAGGGTCATCCAGTGGCCTATGAGAGCCGCAAACTCAACGAGACCGAGCAGCAGTATCCAGTACATGAGAAAGAGATGACAGCAGTGATCCACTGTCTATGAGTTTGGCGACACTACCTCCTCGGGTCGTGATTTGTGCTGAGGACGAACAACATCGCCTTGAGCTATTTCCAAACTCAAAAGAAGCTCTCCCCAAAATAGGCGCAATGGCAGGACTTCCTGGCTGAATTTGATATGGCAATGGAGTATAAGCCTGGGAAGGTAAATGTCGTGGCCGATGCATTGAGTCGGAAAGTAGAGCGTGTGAATGCCGCACAATTGGAGGGCAGAGGCCAAGCAAGTCAATTGCACTCCAACTTCCTTTCCAGGATCAGGGATGGACTGTATAGTGACCCCCAGACAGTTATCCTGATGCAGCTCATCATAGAAGATAAGGCACGACGATTTTGGGTCCAGGAGGGACTCGTTTACATAAAAGGGAATAGAGTTTATGTTCCCCGAGTGGATAATTTGAGGCGTGAACTCTTAAAAGAGTGTCACGATTCCCTTTGGGCCGGACACCCAGGTATTCATAGAACGTTGGCTCTCATGGAGAGGGCCTTCTACTAGCCGAAGATGGGGACTGATGTGGAGGAATATGTTCGAACATGCCTTACTTGCCAACAAGACAAGGTGGAGCAGCGGAAGCCGATGGGACTTTTGGAGCCGTTGCCCGTACTAGAAAGGCCATGGGAGAGCATTTCCTTGGACTTCATATCGAGCTTACCACTTGTAGGGAGACTCGGATCGATACTCGTGGTGGTCGATCGGTTTTCAAAGTATGCAACTTTCATTACTGCTCCCCTACACTGTTCAGCAGAAGAGGCGGCCAAGCTGATGATGAAGGATGTGGTGAAGTATTAGGGAGTCCCGCACAATATCATTAATGATCGAGATGCTCGGTTCCTGGGACGATTCTGGACCGAGCTATTCAAATTGTTGGGGTCAAAGTTATACTTCTTTACAAGCCTCCACCCCCAGTCGGATGGCCAGACTGAAAGGATAAACTCGCTCCTGGAGCAATATCTTCAGCACTATGTGAGTGCCAACCAAAGAGATTGGGTGAAGCTATTGGACATTGCCCAATTCTCCTACAACTTACAGCGGAGCTCTACATCCAACAAGAGCCCTTTCGAGATCATAATAGGACAACAACCGTTGACTCCGCACACCATGGCAATTGGGTATACTGGGAGTAGTCCGTCAGCCTACCATTTCGCAAAGGAGTGGCAACGAAATGCAGATATTGCGCGGGCTTACTTGGAGAAGGTGACAAAAAGGATGAAGAAGTGGGCAGACTTGGGAAGGCGACCGCAAGAGTTCAAAGTTGGCGATTTGGTGTTGGTAAAGCTCCAACCAGCATCACTCTAATTCTTTAGGAACAAAGTCCACAAAGGATTGATGCGCAAGTATGAGGGGCCCTTCCCAATTATCAGTAGGGTAAGCAACGTCTCTTACAAGTTGCAGCTGTCGGCGTGGTTCAAAATTCATAACGTTCTTCACGCCAGCAACCTAAAAGCCTACCATTCGGATCCGCAAGATGCTTCCCGAAGTGTTTCAACTCGGCTACCTCCTATCACAGCCTCCTACGAGAAGCAAGTTGAAACCATTCTGGCAGACCGCAAGATAAAGCTACCCAACGGAGCTGAGCAAACAGAGTACTTGGTGAAGTGGCGAAAGCTTCCCCGAACTGAAGCTAGTTGGGAGCCTGAAGACGCCCTACGACATGAAGAAGAAATCATCAACAACTACCAACAAGCGTCGACAGTTTAAGTGGGGGAGAATGTCACGAACGGTCATCGCGCACCCGCAACAACTCCGTTCAACGAACCGTTCGTCGCTCTCATCTACATGTACAACTACTTGGCAGTCTGTTTTGCCTTGGTTTTGAGTCATTTTGCTTGTAAAAATGTAAGTTCGAACAAGCTGCAGCGTTACAAAGCGATCGCTCACCGAACCGAGCAAAACAGTCCCAAAACAACCCAAAACAGCTCCGTTTTCGTGTGCCGCGGGCTGATTTCTGGAATCTGCCTCCGCTCACCAAAACGTCAGCCATCTCAGCCCCTTGGAACCCCCCGGGTGGCACAGGGTTGGATGGGGCTTCGGTATAGTATTGGGCGTTGAACACTCATTCGCAAGTTCGCAAGTTCGCACGTTGCCTTGACGAGAACTTGTTGTCGTGCCCGGGACTCGGTGAATAATTGTTTGTGGACTTGCAGCTGTTCGTTCAACCTTCTAAAGCCCTTGTTTTCCCCCTCTCCCTCTTTTCTCTTGTGCACGCAAGGTGCTCGCTGAATTGCTTGTAAAGCTTCCCCTCTTTTCGCTCGTTCTTTCGAACTAATCAACTTTCTCTTTTACAGGTCCTTCGGGACTTGCGAGAGATTACAAGTGGGTTGATCTTTATGGAGCAATATCGCAAGGGCGAAGCGCGACTTAGGTAACGCAAGCTGAGTTCACGTCTTGGCCGTAAGGGTACCTCACGCCTTAGGCAATTCCAGCTAAGGCCGTGACAATGTGTCGTTACTGTGAAAGCCAAGAATTTGAAGACCAAATACTATAAACAAAAAAAATAATCGATATTTTATTGTTAATCAAGCTAGGATTACAACATCATGTTCCTTCCTGATGCAACATTCAACAACATATGAATACAAGCAAGCATTCGCACTCAAAGAAGAAAGTGATCGATGATGTGTCGTATGACGTCTTCGCCATCCGAGTGCATGAAGGAAAACTTGGCCTGTCAGACAACAATTGTTGGTACATCGTAAGTAGGGTTGGTGGATATATGATATGCATGACTTGGAAGGCAGTGCTGACCTGAATGACACTGTGAGCAGCATACCGAAGTCTGCTGCCGTGGAAGCTGACATCCACTCTTTCCCATGACACGCGTGTGAGGCCTCTCACTAGCTTCTCTGCAAATATGTGAATCCATCCATCGATCGTTAACCACATGCAGTTTCTTAAAATGTCAACCAGATATTAGTGGTTATTATGGCCCTGATGTTATAGATAAAAACTTATTTTAAGCATGCATGAATATGACACGTATCTGATAGGTTAAGCAGTTGTAAGCCAACAAGGTTATAAAGAAATTTGTAGATTGTTGTCCAACTTAATAAATCAGAAAGTGACAGCCTCTTATTGATCGATTTTGTTACTAACAAGATTCCATTCCATGCTGCTATTTGAATTCGACAAGTACATGTGGTGGGCAGAGAAGTGGCCTGCCCCAACCACACAAGAATTTTGAGGCCAGATCGAAATTTTTTGTCAGAATTCATTCATTCATACAACATTAAAGAGAAATATCAGTAAGACTATCTATATAAAAAAAAAGTTCATGGTTTCATCTTAAGAAAGCTCTGATAGAAAAAAATGTGTTTATCGTGACATACATGGCATGCAAATATAGTGTCCGATCCGTAAATCATTTTGTGCACTTTGTTTTTTGATAAGTTATTCTTAAACTTTAAAGAAACAGAGATTGCTATTGACGAATGCTTTGCAAGAAAACCATATATCTTACACACGGATGACCTGTTACAGCAAGGAAGTAATTGAACATTCATAAGAGCAGGCATGAAAAAATAGGTACACAGAAAATACAAATCCTACCAACACTTTCTGGAACAACATGGAATGAGAATGTTGCTCATAATAAATATCAAACACCTTGAATACCAAGTAACAATGATGTTGCTTACCTTCCAACATGTCAGAGTCACCATCCATAAGTGAGAGATCAGCACACTCGTCAGTGATGCTTCCTTTGGATTGTTCTTCATATACAATATGTGGATAGTTCTCACTCAAGGAACCCTCCCACTACAAAAGAAAAGGTCATGATTAAGTTAATACAAAACAAAACACAGTAGGACCATAGTCATTAGGGAAGAATATGCAAAACTGGAACAATATGAATCTCACAAAATAAATATAAGACATATCTTACTTTAGGCAACTCTGAGTTCCGTCTGATAGATGACGTCCTCCATCCAACTATATCTTGAATTCATCTCGTAAAGGAAACAATTACTTTGTTGCTAATGTAAGTCGTGAACAGTGAACAAAAAACATAGAGAATATGAACCAAAATGTTTCACACAAAGGATACGATCATAGCCAACATTGGCATACACCACTCGACGTTTAAATGCTTGCAGACCAGACCTATATTAATGATTTTAACACACACATCACGCAACGCAGAGGATCAAATGTACACCTCGCAACTTAGAATTTAGCTAAAGCAACAAAGACAAGCAAAGATGGAAAGTACATGAAGCAAAGGTCATCATAATCATCCACCATCCTCTGCAACAATGGAGGCTTTCCTTCATCATCATCAGTCAGAAAAAGATGTCTGCCTGTTCTTCCAAATATCCAATGAATAACATGTGAAGCAACTTTCTCAATAGCAGTAACACCAAAGAGAAAAGGAACCTGCCAAACAACAACAACAATCTGTAATGTCCCGGTTAACTTGGTTCCCTGCATGGATCTTCTTCTTCCATTGGCCCAATTTATGGCAACATTACTAGTCAATCTAAGAATCAGTAAATCTTGCAAACCTACAACAAAGTGTTTCACAATTATCATAAGCAAAGCTTACAGAATTGTCATGCGAATGCAACAGTTCAGAGGAAATTTTTTTACTGAAGAAAAACAAAAAATCAGTAAGCATAACGATTCATGCTTTGGAAGTTGCAGCACAATAAATATTACCAGCTGTCGATGAGCAAATATTTAGCAGTATGAGACATGTAAATAGTCAGTTCAAAGAACATTTCAAGGAGGAAAGATAATAGTTGTGCAATATGTACATGAAGCAACCTGGAATTGTTAAACGGTGCATGCCTATTCCGTGTGAATGCTACACAATGTTGGATGCTACATGTTCATAGAATAACAGAAGCAGATTTTGGAGCCTAGTACAAAGTTCAATTCATTGAAAATGAGAGATCCATTGTGCAGGTAAACTTACAAAGTCAAAAACCATGAATTAAACCCAATAATACCTCATGGAAAGATAATCTTGCAGCACAAAAAAGATTCAACCATACAAACTCCTACTGGTGCCATGACAATCTGCATGGTACAGGTACAGGGATGTTCTAATCAAATGCATGCCATCACATTAACGGAACAGCTGCATGGTACCGGCCTGCATGTTGACACAGGCTCCCACCACCCAAATATCATAGAACATGAATCATTATTGTTATCCACCATCACAAATATAATATGTTGATTTTGTACATGAAGAAAACACAGACAAATGCAAACAGTGAACATGTTATTCTTTGATCCAAGACAGTTTATTTGGTGATTTGAGTAGCATGTTTTTACATTAATCAGTAGATAAGATAGTTAAAGTCAAATTAGAACTTGATGCTCAAACTAATTTCTTTTAATCCCAAGCATATAAAGTGAAGACCCATATAGGCCACATGATGAGGAATACCTGCTTATTTCCCCTGGAACCAAGATGAGGTGTAGCAACAGTTATGAAATTGATTGCTTCCAGGCCACATATGGTTCCACTAGGAGAATCATTATGGACATCAAGTAGAGGGTCCTCAATAGTTTTCCTCCTAGGGGGACTGTATAGTCTCCCAATTGCATATCTTGCAACCAATCCTCCGACCGAGTGTGCAACAAAAGAAATCTTTTGAAGTTCTGGCCTGCTTTTGACTACTTCAGCAACCTGCTCAAGAAGGTTTTCTTAAGACCAAAAATAAAGGCATGAAAAATTTTGTGTTTTTTGCTAAGAATTATGGAACAATTTAGGAAATTCAGAAATTATTAAATTGAAATGGTTGCCACAGTTATGGTGATGTTGTCTGAGTGGCAAACTTACCTCTTCTGCTAATCGCTCACCCATAACATCAACACCATCTAGTGATAACCTGTGCATGTTTCTTTCACTGCCTGGAAGAAAACATTTGCTAAGTGGCTTGGATGTTAGAAAATAGGGAGGAACTCAATCGCACCATGAACTAAATCTTGTATAAATAGCAAGTAATTTGATACATATACAAATACTAAAATTTATGACAAAGACAGTATAATGCCAATTCTAAAATATTTAGTGCAGATTTTATAAAAGGCTAACTAATCAACCATGACCGATCTTGAACTCTTTTACACAAAACAACAGAGTCTATTTCATAGAACTAATCATCCATAATCATATATGTCAATTGACCATTCTGACTACAAATCAGATTCTCACTGTTCAAAAAACCAAATTCCATTGACATAATAACTATGTAGTATGGGAGTCCATACTTGAATAGAAACATATAGCAAGCGAAGTATATACAGATACTCTGTCTCCTGGTTGATTCTGCTGCTTTTCCTTATCAGACTTTAACTACCATGGAGAAGTATGCTAGATATGTTTCTACAAAACATTCAGAGATATGAAAAGAAACTAACATACTTAATGATAGCAAATAACAGGAAAATTGCTTTCGGAGGTAACTGAACACATACCTATTCATCATCACCATTTTTAAGCATTCTTGCAATTCCAAGTGAAAAAAAAAAAGACAAAATAGTATAATGCCATGTGAATGATACACACACTGATTATGAATTAGATTCACTTACAATGAATTATGACTTTATCTGGAAGCATTCTAACAAACTGGTTGGCTCCAAATTCCCAATCAGCGACACTGCAAAATAAGATAAATTGAATAACAATGATGAAAATGTCTGATTTGGTCAAATATATAATAGCACACATAAGTGAAGAGTCAAATTAATCATGTAGGACACAGTTGGAAGTAACATCTTTTTCCACAGCATTATAGCAGAGAAGAATACTCGGGGAATCCTGTATATAATTAGCTTTCTTTTCCAACTATAGAGAAAAAGAATACCTGAATCGGTCATTAAGACAATGTTTTTCTTTTGCATCATAACAGCATATAATTTACAGCAAGAAGATGAAAGAATATCCTTAATATAGAGCTTATATTTCACAGAAGAAACAAGAACTCTGATATTCACAGAGTTAGGAAGACGGCAACATCTTGAGGTCATTCCCCTATCAATCTCTAACTGGTCTATTTTAAGAGTTTAGAAAAATACAATTCAACACGTCGTTGCTTGCAATAACTAGTTACTCCAGTCTTACCAATCAACTATATACGGCACCATCATCAAATTAAACATGAAACCATTAGAAAGGGAAGCTGCATGACTATCTTCCTTATCTAGGGGATCTTCTCCATGGATCTCCAAGAAGAGAGACATAGAGCTTCTCTAACTTGGTGGTTGTATAGAGCCTAGGCATCTAAAAGTTAGGATCTTAACAGGATCATCAACTATAAATGTCATGATACTGTCTAAAACCTATTCCATGTGCGAATTCAAAAGTCCATATTTTTTTAATTAGGTTTTGCTTCTATAATCCTGTTTTCTCTTTTAATTCTCAATGGATATTGATATCACAAGACAGACAATCAAGTCTTCCTGCAGATTTCTTTTCTACTTCAGTTCTATCCAATTTATGACACTAGAATTGGGATAATCAATCATCAACCAAATCAATTTTAATCAGAAAGTGATTAAAGGCTCTTTTTTTAATAAGTAATAAACACTCATGACAAGTTGATAACAGCTGTTGATAGGTAGGATCAAAGCTAAAAGAAGGATTTCAAGTAATGTCAGAAGACTTGAAGATGCTTAACAGAAGGAAACAAAAAAGGGAAACCAGTGACTCCAGACACTGCACTTCAGCAGCCGCGAAGAACAGAAAGAATAAAGAAGCTAATGAAGTTCAGAAATCAACAAAGCTCCAGCACTGTTTGGTAAATTGGTAAGAATAGTTCGTTCACATCTTGATAATCTAGTGTGATTGCAACCCACTCCTTTACTTACGCTGGCTACAGGCTCTCTACACCTTGAGGAGACGACAAAATACACGATTACTAACCTAAACTTATAGTAGTGATTTTTTTTGGAAAAACCTTAAGAAAACAAGCATCATAAAATCTAAGATATCTGATAGAACATCAAAACTGAAAAAACGCAGAGCAAAAAGTCAGAATCTGCCAGCAATGCTTTCGCCCATATCAAATGAAAGGACTAAGTGGTCTCTCTTTTTCTTAAGAAAAAGAGTGCCTTCCGTCTCCGGCAATGTTCGAGCATTGGCCTTTCAACTGAGACTCTTCAAAGAGCATAAAATAGACGTCAAGGAACTCAATTCCGTAGGTATTGAGCAGAACCACCCTCAAGGATAACATGACACACCCGATTGACCCAGTGCGCACGCCATTACCCAGATCGATCCCCTCGCACCCAATTTCTCCTCAGAAACTCAACCCAGGGGTTTCAGACAAGTCACATCAAGAAAAGAAGTCCAATACCTTCCAAGGATTCCGTGGACCATCACCACGAGATGATCAGCGGAGGAGGACGGGCAGCTGTAGATGTCGGTTCCACCATCGACGGGCTCGGAGAAGACTCTTGCCGAGTCTCCCATCGATCGCAGCTCCTCCCTCTCACAAGGGCCTCACTGACCAGCCAGCAACCGCAAGAAAATGACGCGCGCCCGACGAGAGAGCGAGAGAGAGAGAGATTGATTAGGGAGACGACCAGCAGAAGAGGAGAGAGAGAGAGAGACGAAGGCTAAAAGAAGCTGCAGGAAAAGGGGAAGAAAGAACGGAAGAGATTAATTGATATTTGTAGCCAGGGGAAGGTGGGTCGACACGTGGGTCAGCAGATAAGTCGGGGAGCCGCGCGAAGGCCATTTCCCCTAAATATTGGGCCTTTTCTTATGCCACGTATTATGAGAACCGTCGGATCAGCAGGAGTCTCTCGTATTCACCATCCAAAAATAGGCACGTTTCGATATAAAGCTTGGTTGACGTAATAATTCAAGAATCAAAATGGTTAAATTTGATCACTAATAATCTGAGATAATATTTGTGTCCGAAAAGGGAAAATATGTCGAGAATCGAAACTTGGAATGAGAAAAAAAAAACTATAAATTCAATTATGTCTTGTATTCTTGTCACATAATTATATTTATCTGATAAAATATGTCCGATGAATAAGTCGTTATGTGTTTGTTTGCTTTATCCGTTAAAAGTTTAAAGGACTTTAGTATTTGTTTAGTAAATTTAAAAATGAAGAAAAGGAGTAAATATGTGTATGTCTTTCTCTTTAAATATTATGCTAATATAATATATCTAATAGAGTCTTTGTCAACACATAGCATAGGTAGTAGTAGGTGTTTAATAGACTCCACAAGTCAAGTCTAATTTAGGGGAACGTAATAATAACTATATCATATGCTCCTTATTATGTTTTAAGTTAAAAGGTTTGCTCACCTAACAGCACAATCATTCATTGTGTTAGGACCTCCGTGTTGTTATCTATATTTGAAAATGATTAAGTTATATTTTGATTGTAGGGCAGACAAATTATGCCAAAAAGGATGCTTTTAGATGTGTTTTTTTTTATCTTGGACTAAAATATCATAAGAAGAAAAGAACGTTTTGAACGTGCTCAATTGCATCGAACGGTTTAGAAATTTTTTTATTGTGGACCGATACATAACGCACAAGAAAAAAATGATTTTGGATGCGTACCTTTGCTTCCTTAGAAGATGGATTACACAGAAATTGGATACAAATGATTTAAAGGTTTTTTATCATAAATGAATGTGAATTGGATGCTTTAAAAAAAAATATATATTTTTTTATTTATTTTGAATGAACTCACTACATGTAAAAAAAAAAGAGGCGTATAGATAGCATAAAATATTTTATACAATTTTTTTTTAATCTTAAACGAATGTACTATTTGTAAAGAGAATATTTTTGAAATACAACTGATGTTTATAATATTTTATATCTTATACATACATGTTCAAGAAGTCGACTAATATTTTATATCTTATACATACACGTTCAAGAAGTAGTCGACTCATATTATCTACACATTATGATGATGGGCATATCTTTTGTATATTTTCTTTATCAAATTTATTGAAAATGTATATGTGAGGGTGGTGGTGCTGCTAAATCTCTTGTATATTATATTTTTTAGTTAATTATGATTATTTATTTTAATTTTTATATTTTAAAAATAATATTAAAGGTTTCTATATTTATAAAAATAAAATATTTAATTATCATTAATTTCGTCGACGAAAAAAATTATATGTGTAAAAAAAAAGTGAATGAAAAAGATAAAAATATAATTTTATTATTTTTTAAATTATTAATTTTATATAAATTTCTCGATCAATTTTCTCTTTCCCTCTTTATTCGAACCCGTTCACCAATCACCTACTCAATCGATGAGCTCCCAAGGAGAAAGTATGTCTCAACATTCTTTAAGTCATGTCATCGTCTCCTAAATGCTGCAACTGATGGCATTCCAATGAAAGTGGGATTCGAACAAGTCTACAGTCTTCTTGTGTGGGGATGGTGCACTCCTTACAGTGTGGCTATCTTCCATCGTCGTCAGTGTTGTCAACTCGATTCCTCTGGTAGATGCCACATTCGTATTGTTTTGAGCAATTGTGGCAGAAATGTGATGTTATGATGTCTTTCTTGTATTCAATCAGATTGAGACAAAAATGTCAAGTGCTTGCAACTTCCAAAGATCATGAAGTTAGTGGGACTTGGATACACTGGTTGGTTTGTGTATTGCAACCTACTCTTCAAGGTAAGGCTTAAGATCTAAATTTTCTCATCGATATTCTTATAAGACTCAAAACTTCCTTCATTAGATTTCTCTGTTTCAGCCAGCATTAATGAGTTTGAGTTGATGATCACAACTAGAAGAGGCTAAGACATACAAGTGGATTCTTACTCAAACAAAAATAGTCATAGCTGAAGTTTGAAGTATGCACGTTATCTCAACTTTGGTGCATATCTACTTGTTTGTCGTCTTCAGAAGCTTTGCTTGTCATTCACAAGGATAATAGAAAAGAGTTACCCTCTTTTCAATTTGCTCACCCGTCACCTCGTCATTCCTGCCTTGGTTGGTGTTTGCTATCTATATATATCATGTGCATATCCACTTGTGCAAAAATGATAAAGAAGATGAAATCATTTCTATATAGAACTCACTCGCTTGTATAACTCAATCTAGAGAAGAGCAACGGTGAGTTGCAGGTACCGACAAGCAGATTGGAAAGAAGAACGACGGACAAGTAGGTGCAGCAGGTGAGCGGGTGAGACGATAAGCAGGATCAACAATAGGTACGATAGGCCTGACATTTTTTTCGTTAACAAAATTGACGACAAAAGGAATTTGAATGTTACTTGTTTAAGTATAATGAACATAATTAATTACAAGGAATAATATATAATTATCTAAGTTACTCGATTATTGGTTGAGACTTGATTATTTTTAATTATATTTTTTTTTCTTTGACAACAAATTACACCGTTTCTTTCAAATCAAAAACCACCCAATGTCGTTCCAAACATCATCTGGATGGAATCCTTCTACTAAATCACATTTAAAGGACAGTAAATAACAATACAACATAAAAATATTTTAAGAGCACCCATTATTAATACACGTACACATACATCATCAATAATGACTAACAAATGGATTCCTAAACTCTCAGGATGAATAGCTCTTCTAATAATAACACTCGACAGTATATTTTAATACAAGATCTCAAAATAAGTGAATCCATATTACACTCCCAAATAAAATGACATCATAATAGAGATATATCTCCCACGTCAAGCAAGAGACTATTTAGCTGTCATGTCTCTTAGCTCATGAATCTCCAAACCGAGTACCAGCATTAGTTTCCCTGCCCCTTGGTTAAGATCAATATCTATAATTAACATCATGTCATCAATATTATCATATAACAGACATAATATAATATCATAGATAACTCATCATGCAATCTAATGTATCAAACATCAGTGTATCAAAAATAACATAGGATGCAAGTATGCAGACATCATAAAAGGAATATATATATATATATATATATATATATATATATATATATATATATATATATATATATATATATA